TTTGTTAGGTGCATATACACGTTTAGGATTATTATGTGTTTTTCTCAGAATTGATCCCTCTATCATTATGTAGTGCCTCTTCTGATCTCTGATAATTTTCCTTGTTCTGCTTTGTCTGAATGTATGTAACTACCCCAGCTTTCTTTTTTTGTCCAGGTTTCTTCTGATTAGTGAAGATCTTTCTCTGTTGCTTTACTTTTAACCTCTCACTCTTTAAATTTAAAGTGGGCTTCTTGTACACAATATATAGTTGGGTTTTTTTAATACACTCTGATAATTTCTATCTTTAATTGGTGTATTTAGACCATTCACATTTAAAATGATTCTTGATATATTTGGATTTAATATCAACCATGTTTATAACTGTTTTCTATTTGTTGCCAGAGGCTTCTTCTGCCTTCTCTAGTTTTTTTTTTAATACATTTATTTATTTTTTTATTTTTATTTTTGACTGCATTGAGTCTTCATTGCTGCACGTGGGCTTTCTCTAGTTGCAGTGAGTCGGGGCTACTCTTCATTGCGGTGCATGGGCTTCTCATTGCAGTGGCTTCTCTTGTTGAGGAGCACGGGCTCTAGGTGCATGGGCTTCAATAGCTGTGGCTTGCAGGCTCTAGAGGTCAGGCACAGTAGTTGTGGCGCATGGGCTTAGTTGCTCTGCGGCATGTGGGATCTTCCGGACCAGGGCTCAAACCCGTGGCCCCTGAATTGGTAGGCGGATTCTCAACCATTACGCCACCAGTGAAGCCCCCCTGCCTTCTCTAGTTTTAATTGAGTATTTTACATGATTCCACTTGTCTTATTAGTGTATCAGTTATATGTCTTTAAAAGAATTTTCAATGATTTTCCTCGAGTTTACATTTTTAACTAAGATCACTTTCAAATAACACTCTTTTGCTTCACTTATATGTAGTACAGATACCTTATTACAGAATGTTCATTTCATTCATCCATTTGTTACAGTCACTTAATACATTATTACTTTAGATAAAGAGTTATTTTTATATCAATTAAGAATAAGACAAGGGCTTCCCTGGTGGCGCAGTGGTTGAGAGTCCGCCTGACGATGCAGGGGACACGGGTTTGTGCCCTGGTCCGGGAAGATCCCACATGCTGCGGAGCGGCTGGGCCCGTGGGCCGTGGCCACTGAACCTGCACGTCCGGAGCCTGTGCTCTGCAACGGGAGAGGCCACAACAGTGAGAGGCCCGCATACCGCAAAAAAAAAAAGAAAGAGAAAAAAGAAAAAAAAATTCATTTTACTTTCATTTATTGCGTTTCCATAGCTCTTCCTTTATGTAGATCTGAGTTGTTGGCCTGTATCATTTTTCTGCTGCCTGAAGAAAATCTTTTAACATTTCCTGAAGGAAAGGTTTGCTGATGCTGAATCCCATCACTTTTTGTTGTCTGAGAAAGTATTTTATTTCTCCTCCACATTTGAAGGATTATTTCACTGGGTATAGAATTTTAAGTTAGTGTTTTTTTCTTTCAACACTTTATTTACACAGTTAGATAGGAGTGTTAACACTGAAATGGAGGATTTATTTATTCTCCTGTATTTCTGTTAAATTTTATTTTATTTATTTTGAGGTCAATTTAATAAATGCATACAAATTTTAAATATCATGAGGTGACACTCCTTACCTATTTTGTTATTAATTTAACTATAATGTCTTTCTTTTGGTTAGTGTTTTCATGGTTTTTTTCCCCTGTACTTTTACTTTCAGTCCTTATGTATCTTTATATTTCAGATAGTCTTTTGTAAATAGTACATAGTTGGGTTTTTTCCAGTCTGAAAATCTTGTTTTTTAATTGTTTCAAGTACACCATTTACATTTAATATACTTACTGATATTAATACTGGATATAACCATTGTACCAAGTTCTGTCTCTATGTCCCACCTGATTTATGTTAGTTTTTTCTTCTTTAGGATTGGTTATTTTCTTATTTTTACCCCTCTATTAGCTTAGAAGTTTTACACTCTTACTCTTCCTTAATAGTTATCTGGCAATTATAGCATACAGTCTTGACTTATTAAAGTCTTGACCAATATTAATTTATACTTCTACACACTCCCTAGATAATGCCCAAACTTTAAATACTTTAGCTCTCTTGACTCTTATGTTGTCAATATAAATTAACAAGATAATATTATTTTATATAATATTGACTTAAATTTATATAGATATTTAGCCTTTTAATTGCTTTTTATTCCTTTCTTCATCCCCAGTCTTCCATCTGAGATCATTTTCCTGTTATCTGAAAAATGCCCTGTAGAATTCAGTACGTACTTTGGTTTATGCCTGCTGCTGGAAACTCTCTCTGTTTTTATTTGTAAAGCTTTTATTTCACCTTCATTTTTGAAGGGTATTTTTGCTGGTTATTAATTTCTTGGTTGGCATTGATTTTCTTTCAAGATACTAAAGATGTCATTTCACCGTATTCATGCTTTCATCATTGCTGTTGCAAAGCTAGTAATTAGCCTAACTTGTTCCTTTTGAGGCATACTCTATTTTTTTTTGGCTACCTTTTTGATTTTTCTCTTTGTCTTGAATTCTCTGCAAGTTCACTATTATGCATTCTATATGTGGGTTTCTTTTTATTTATGCTGTTTGGGATTTGTTGGACTCCTTGGATCCTATGGATCAATGTCTTTCATCAATTTTGAATAATCCTCAGCCATTAATTCTTTAGATTGCCTCTGAACAATTCCATTTCTCTTCTCCTTCTGGAACTCCAATTAAACATGCATCAGACCTTATCGTACCCTCTTGTCTGTATTTTCCATCTTTTTGACTACCCATGCAGCCTTATGGATAATTTCATCTGAATAGAATTTCTAGTTCTTTAATTCTCTCTTGGGCTGCATCTAATATGCTGTTAAGGGCATCCACTGAGTTTCTAATTTCAGCTTAGTTACTTTTTAGTTTTGGAGGGTTTTTTCCCCCTACTTTTTCTGATTTCTTGTTCCCTGTTGAAATTTTCAAGATTGGATTTTATTTATCTGAATACAGTAAGCATTGTGGTTTAGTAGTCTGTACCTGATAACTCAAATAATTCAAAGCTAATGGATCTGTTTGTGTTGTCTATTCTCTCTGGTGCTTTTTACCTATGATGGGTTTTATCTTCGTGTTGCTGCTTATCTTTGTGTATGGGCATTGTATTTAAACAACTGTTTGTTGAAATAATTTGAGGCCTAGGATGATGGAATCTTCCTCCAGAGATTTTGTTTGCATTGGTCAGGTCTGTAAGGATGCTTCCTGTCTAAAACCACCTCAATCTATACTCAAAACTTAAACTTTACTAGTCCACCTAGATGTTGCAAAGCCAAGCGAAAAAACTTTGTGAGGGCTAGTTTATTTTCAGTTTACAGTTACCCTTAAAGTGAAACATTTGAAGTTCCTAAGAAACCCCTCCCCTTTTAATAAGCCTTGGGCTTTGATTTTTGTTACTCTAGTGCTTTGAGTCTGCTGAATATTCAACTCACTTTGACACTGGTTTATTCCTTAACCTTTATTCCTTAACCACAGATGACCTCAAGACAAATACAGCTAACCTTATGAGTATTAAAAGAAGACATGGTGAATTCTTCTTTCACCTCATATAGGAAAAGCGTTCTTAACTATGAATCAAAATCTAGATGCAATAAAAGTCTAATAAATGTGACTACTTTTTTTAATGCATGGCAGAAATACATCATAAAGTCAAAAGGCAACTAACAAACTGGAAGTAAATATTTGCAACTTATATAACAGATAAAGGCCTAATATAGTTAATGTATAAAGAACACTTGAAAAGTGTGAAGGACCAACAACCCAATAGAAAAATGTGGAAAAGACATGAACAGACAATTCACAATGATATTTATTAAACTGTTGTTAAACAGGAATGCCATCGATATAATACTTCTCACCTATCATATTAGTGAAAAGTAGAAAGTATGTCACACGCTATGTTGAAAAGTGTGTGGGGAAATAAGCACTCTCCTATATTGCTGGTGGGAAAGCAAAATGGGTCTGAGACTCAAGGGAGGGAATAACCTGGATATGTAGATTAGGAAATCATCTGTGTTTAGAGGGAAATGAACAGAGATCAGCCAGGGAGCGAGGACACATGGACTGAGGAGAGCAGAGGCTCTGGACGTAGCTGCTACTCAAGGAGGCAGCGCAGCTACCTGGCGGGCACCACCACCAGGGCTCTGGAGTCAGACGGAGCTGGTCTTGAAAACGGGTTGTGAGGCTCCGTGTGGAGCGCTCCTGGAGAAGTCGGGTACCCTCCCTGCAATCAGCTGGCACAACTGGGGATAAAGGGCATCTCAGAGGGATGCTGAGCGAGGACCTGAGAGGCACCAGGTAAAGCACCTGCAGTCAGGAAGCCTCCCCCCACCTGCTCTGTTGGTAACTCCCCCTTTTCCACACACACCACCCCGCAGCCCGTCCGCAGCTGTCCGGTCCCTGTGGGATGTAGGTGAGGGGGCGGGGCGGGGGGAAACCGGGCTCGGGTGACGCGGCGCTCACGTGACCGGCAGGGCGCCAACGTGGGCAGCAGCCCCCGCGTCCCACCCCCCCAGCCCCGAGGTCTGGTCCTGTCGCCCGCGCGGAACCAGCTCCCGGAGCTGTCCGGGTGGCGAGCGAGGGGCAAGCGGGCTTAGGCGAGCCAGAGGAGGCGCAGGCCCGGCTCGGGCGCTGCAGGTCAGTGTGAAGGTGGGCGCTGCTGGCGGCCCGGGGTGGGGGTGGAAGCGGATGGGACTAGGATCCGGGAGCAGCGGGGAGAGGGGAAGGGGTCCCGAGATGGGTGAGGAGGGGCACGGGGCGTGGTGTGGGCAGGTGGGGAGGAAGGACCCTGCAACTGGCCCTGCCGCCTCTTCGACGCCCCTCCTCTGCGCCCTCCATCCATTTTCTAGCCTGAAATGGGGGGGGGGAGTGCGCCCCCGCAGTGCGACAGTGAAACGTAGACAAATTCTGAAAATAACTCCCTTTCACCCTCTCCACCCAGGAGGAAATATTGACCTCAGCGTAAAGGGTTGGGGGTGGGGCAGGTTGCTTGCACGGGAGGAAGACCCAGAGATCCAAAATAGTTTGGAAAGCATCCTGGTCTGGTGCCTGAGGCCTGAAAAGTAATGGCGGCTTGGATGCAGGGGAGGTGGGGGAGGAAACGTTGGATGAGGAGGGCCCAAATTCAGGAAAGGGACTTCAGTCCACTGACCGTGCAGCCCCTCTCTGTCTCCTGTCTGCTGGTCTGCGTGTCTGTTCTCAGCACTCTGCAAGGCTAGAAAAGGAGGAGGAACCTTTCCAGAATCCCTGCAGGTCAGCGGAAGGAGGGAGAGGCACTGGACAGGCACAGAGCTGGGGGCTGGGTGTGGAGGGCACAGCTTGGGCAGAATTTGAGGGCCCCACTGCCCATCCCCCCCATATATAATATACACACTTTCTGCCACGCTGAAGGATGGTACAAGGTAGCAGGGCCTGCCAGGGAAATGGTTGGCTCTCAGTGCAGGAGGAATGGTGGGGTAAAGGGTGGCCAGAAGGCACACTAGGCTGGGCCAGGTCAGGGGAACGCTGACAAGGGTGAGATGCCAGTACTATCCGGACCTGCATTCCACCCCCAAGGCCTCAGTCTCCCTCCTTTCCTCTTGTCTCTCTCCCCCCACCCCACCACATCCCATCCCCCAGGACAGGAAAACGAGGGGACATCTCAACATGGAAAAACTCTGCAATGAAAATGAAGGAAAGCTGGAAAGCGAAGGAAAGCCAGAAAATGAAGTAAAGCCTGAAAATCAAGGAAAGTCAGATGAGGAAGAAAAGCCAGAAGTGGAGGGGAAGTCAGAACACGAGGGAGAGCTCCAGAATGAGGGACGGCCAGAAGACCAGGGACAACCAGAAGATGAGAGGAAGAGAGAAAAGCAGGACAAGTCCGAAGCTGAGGGAAAACCACACGGTGAGCGCAAGCTGGAATCCCAGGCAAAGCCAGAGAGTCAGCCGCGGGCTGCCGAAAAGTGCACCTCTGAAGACTATGTGCCCCGGAAAGCAAAAAGAAAAACGGACAGGGGGACGGACGATTCCCCCAAGGACTATCAGAACAACTTACAGGAAAGGCATCTGGGCAGTGAGGAGATGATGACAGAATGTGCAGCTATGTCAAGGGCTCAGGAAGAGCTAAGGAAAAGACAGAAAATGGGTGACTTTCATTGGATGCAAAGAGATGTACAGGATCCATTCACCCCAAGGGGCCAACGGGGTGTCAGGGGAATGAGGGGCGGAGGTAGGGGCCAGAGGCGCTTACATGGTATCCCATATCTTTAATGCCTTTGGCCTTCAATTCTGACTCCTCTGATGAGAATATCACTGACCCTGCTTTCCCTGGCAGGCATTTGCCAGGCTATGTGCTTTAACCTTAAGCTGATTCTTTGCTTTAGGTGTCACTCTCGTTACCAGCAGCCTTTTGATCCAACTACAGTGCTCTCTGTGTTTCAGTAGGGGATTTTCACCCATGTGCATGGAGGAGATGTTCATGGTACACTGTAAAACAACAATAAAGAAAAAACAGTTTTCAGAACCGAATATATAGTATCAGCCCAATTTTGTAAAAATATAAACATTTGCACAATACATTTGTGCACAGAGAAAACTCTGAAAATGTTTGCACTAAAAAGGAGGCAACGGTTTTTTCCTGCATGGTAGCCAGAAAATAGGTCTCACCTGCACTCAAAAATGAATCCAATCGCCTGATGGTACCTCCATGCCATTCGCCTGAAGGTGTGCCCATCCCCTGTCTTTCCCTAGTTGTAACCATGTCAGTGGGCGCTGCTACACCTTCTCCTGGGTCCTCTACCGTCCTATGGCTCCCAACATGTATGATTCTTTTTTTCTTTGCTCACTCATCTCCACTTTTTCTTAAATGATATGGATTATGTTTGTCATAATAAAAAATCTAGAAATCAACACATGATAAACAATTGAAACGTTCAGTAAGCTTATGAGGGCAATGAAGACACTTAAAATTCCTGTTGTCAGAATGTAAAATGTTAAGTAAAACATTGCCTCTGGGACTCAGCTAGAGGAATCAACCTGACAGTTGTAACAGATCCAGTGCTCTAAAGGTCAGTCTTGTCATCTGCGAAATGGGAATAAAACTTGCCTGTGTTGGGTGGGCTCCTTTGTAGCAGTAGGACCCTGGACCTTGTCAGACACTCAGGGGAGGGCTGAGAGTAGGTCTCATCTATGCCCAGGAACAAGTCCAAGTAGCTGAGAAGAGACTGCCACTCTTATCTGGATACTACCGTATCTGTTGGGCACTCCTGTTGTGCCCTGTACCCTCTGCTGACAGCTACTGATATGATGGAGTCCTCATGGTGACAAAGCCCCTCTGATTCCCTATAGTTCCCAAAGGGCCAAAGCCCCTATTTGACTCCTATAGGAATGTAGGTTAACCCCCTCTTCCAGCTTCAGAGTTGTACCTATCCTGGTGGTAGTGCCCCAGGGCTGTTTGGGCTCCACTATATTGCATAGTTCTTAAAGTAGTCATTAATATTTTTAGTTCATTTTATATTTGCTTACAGTAGTTTCTTATCTCTTGACTCATATATTTTGGGTCCACCAGGGGTTGTATCCTGAGACAAATCTGTGGACGAGACAGTGGATGATTATTTGAACTACACACCACAGTACCTCAGGGAAGCCACATGTAAATTTACATACCTTTCTTAGTGTGAGTTTTCGCTCTAAAAAGTCTCCTGGTTGGCTTCCTACACAAAATCAAAGGACTTGTAATCAGAGAGGGTTACACAAGTGAGTTTCAAGCTGAAAATATCCCTTCCCATTCCAAACCAATTCCAACTGAGAAGTGTAACAGTGCTCTTAAAAATATTAAAAACTCTCAGTGTTAGGCATTTTTATTTAACCCACTAGTATGTTGCTTTTTCCAAAGACTTTTTTTTTTTTGCGGTATGTGGGCCTCTCACTGTTGTGGCCTCTCCCATTTGCGGAGCACCGGCTCCGGACGCGCAGGCTCAGCAGCCATGGCCCACGGGCCCAGCCGCTCCGCGGCATGTGGGATCCTCCCGGACCGGGGCACGAACCCGTGTCCCCCACATCGGCAGGCAGACTCTCAACCACTGCGCCACCAGGGAAGCCCCCAAAGACTTTTTTATTCATCCTAACATCCCTTACACTGTACTTGACACATATACTTAATAAATTTTGATTGAATCAGGAGCCCTGAGTTAAAAAAGATACAGTGTTCATGGATCAGAAGACTCAATGTGTTAATATGGTAATTCTCTCCAAAAGTGATCTATAAATTCAATGCCATCCCATTAGAAATCTCAGCAAACTGCGATTCTAAAGGTTTTATGGAAAAGCAAAGGAACAAAGTTAGAGGACTCACTACCTGATTTCAGGGCTAACTATAAAGCTACATTAATCAAGACTATGTAGTATTTGCATAAGGACAAACATATAGATTGATGGAATAAAACACAGTCCAAAAGTAGACCCACATATATATGGTCACTTCATTTTTTAAAAAGGACCCAAAGGAATTCAGTGGAGACTTTTCAAGAGATGATGCTGGAACAATTGAATGTTGTCTTGATCAGTTTGGGCTGCTATAACAAAAATACCACAAACTGGAATTTCTCATAGTTCTGGAGTCTGGGAAGCCCACGATCAGGATGCTGGCAGATCTGGTGTCTAGTGAGGGTCAGATTCCTGGTTCATAACCAGATGTCTTCACATGGCAGAAGGGGCAAGGAAGCTCTCTGGGCCTCTTTTATAATGAAACTAATCCCATTCATGAGGGCTCCACCTTCATGGCCTAATTGCCAATTACCATCCAATTATTTGGTAATTCCAAATACCATCCAATTGGATGAATTTCAGGGTTACACAAACATTCAGTCTATAGCAGACATCAATATACAAAAAAAGTACCCTTACCTCACACCAAATACAAAACATGAATTCAAAATGGCTTACAGAACAAAATGTGAAACCCAAAATTATGAAAACTTCATTTAGCGATTTCCCTGGTGGTCCAGTGGTTAGAACTCTGTGTTCTCCTGCCAAGGGCCCAGGTTTGATCCCTGGTCAGGGGAACTAAAATCCCATAAGCCATGTGGTGTGGCCAGAAAAATAAAATAAAATAAAAATAAAAACTTCATTTAAAAATAGGAAAAATAGGGCTTCCCTGGTGGCGCAGTGGTTGGGAGTCCGCCTGCCGATGCAGGGGACGTGGGTTCATGCCCCAGTCTGGGAGGATCCCGCATGCCGTGGATCGGCTGGGCCTGTGAGCCACGGCCGCTGGGCCTGCGCGTCCAGAGCCTGTGCTCCACAGCAGGAGAGGCCGCAACCGTGAGAGGCCCGCGTACCGCAAAAAAAAAAAAAAAAAAAAGGAAAAATATGGAATAGTTTGTAGGTTCAGAGTAAAATATTATTGCTTATTAATTCTGAAGTGGTTTAAAGATTTTTTGAAATTAACTTTCTGCCACTATCTACTTAATAGGCTCCAGAGGTTTCTCCTACTAAGAAAGGGGAAAAGGCAAATGCTAATGATAAAACATTTACATGTGGACAATAAAATTTAAGATATCATTAAAAAATTAGGGAAAAAAGGGTAATCCTGGATTAGCATATGACATGAATCTGTGCCATATGACAATTTAAGATAATAACGGGACAATGAGGGTATTGACAAATTTCTGTGAACTTCAAACAAGTCTGGAATATCTATACTAATAAATATAACCATACATATATAATCTAAGATGGCTTAATACTTATTTGACAATGTTTTCCATGTAATTTAACATACCAAATAAACCTAATTGTTTTAATATCTCTTTTATAAGGTGAGAGACTATTTTTTTTAGATTTTCTAAGTACCCACTGGGAAATCTCAAAAATAGTTTGAGGTCAAAAAGACTCCATTTAGAATCTGATTTTGGGAAGTTGTCAAAAATTCCAAAAGTTTGGGGCTTCCCTGGTGGCGCAGTGGTTGAGAGTCCGCCTGCCGATGCAGGGTATGCGAGTTCATGCCCCGGTCCGGGAAGATCCCACATGCCGCGGATTGGCTGGGCCCGTGAGCCATGGCCGCTGAGCCTGCGTGTCCGGAGCCTGTGCTCCGCAACGGGAGAGGCCACAACAGTGAGAGGCCCGCGTAGCAAAAAAAAAAAAAAAAAATTCCAAAAGTTTGAACATTTGATTAAACAGTATCACAGATCAATATGAAACAATACTTAATTATCTATTTAACCATTTAACCAAAGTGACAATAAAAGATTTTTAAGGTAAATACAGAAGGTTACAAAACCGTGAAAAAATATAGCTCTTTTCACATTGAGAAGACTCAATTCTCCCATGTAATCAAAGACCTGATAAAGATAATATGAAACACAAAAAATTATTTTGGTAAGACAAAATCGTTGCTTTCCAGGCAGATTACCCAAAAGGTAAAGAGAAGCATTTCACAATCTCTTATCAAGAGAAGACCAATAGTCCAAACACTTTTTCTTTTTAACAGAGAGAAAACCAAACTCTAATTTTGCACCAGTGTCCTTTTTTTTTTTTTTCCTTTTTGGCTGCACTGCGTGGCGTGTGCGATCTTAATTCCCCAACCAGGGATCGAACCTGTGCCCCCTGCAGTGGAAGTGCGGAGTCTTAACCACTGGACCTCCAGGGAAGTCCCTGCACAAGTGTACTTTTGATATTAAGGCTCATTCTTTAAAAATTTACAAATAAATTCATTCTAATCTTAGACAGCTTGACCACACATAAAATCCCTTTCCCAAGATTCCTTTTCCTCAAACGTTCTACCCACTCAGGTTTTCTTCCCTGTATTTTCCTCTTTCTCATTCTGGAACACCCAGTAATTCTACTTTAGAACAAAATTACTCTTTTTCCCTTAACAAAAACATGTCTTTCATACCTCTTGTTATCCAAAACACACATCCTATTTTCCTTACCTACTTTTCGTACACAGTTGTTTCCTTTCACCCTCATTATTTCTAGTATTTTTAATTACATATATTGATTAGCTTTCTTAACCCTTAGAAACCTTAATTTCTAGTGAAACTAAAAAGTAAGCAATTGTGGACTGCCTGTTACACAACCATTCTACAGATCGGTAAAGTTAAAAATATATTTCATAATTTCTAAAAGTATATCCTTCCTGATAGTAAAATTTCCAGTATGGCACAACACATGTTTGCTGATAGACAGAAATATCTTCAGCTCCTTTATAAGAAGATGCCAAAGTAGATAAACCTATGCTCAGTAGTTTCAGTATTATTTTATTTGAAAATGATCTAGATATTCAATGCATATCCATCATTAGTTAGTGTAACTTAAAGGTTTCGAGTTATCAAAAAGATTTTTGAAACTATTTTTAAGTAGACATACCATAAAATATAATTACTGTTGAAAAATTCACATATAAACTTTTAATTACAGCTATGTAATTCATCTGTTTAGGTTACTCATGAAAATTTCATGAGGCATTAAACAGCTAACCATCAACTTAAGTTATTTTTCTTGCTAACAAATCCTGTAACAGAAATAACATGACTTTTAGTAAACCTGGCTAGAATAAAAGCTGTATGTCTGCATTATATTTAAGGCTGATAACTCTGAAGACATGCCTGTTTTAATTAAACCAACAAAGTTAAACTAGCTTTTATTTACCAAAGATTACCCTAGACCACATGAACTTGAAAAACTTTGGGGCTAGTTTCTATATTTCTGAGAGAATCCTTTTTTTTTTTTTTTTTTTTTTTTTTTTACTGGATCAACAGCTCAACAGCTCAACTTTTAATTATCCAAATTCCTATATTAAGATTCAGGGGATTCTGAATTCCATGATTACAGCCACCTGGCATAAACAAGAGTAAATTTTCTCTGCAACAAGTTTACATCATCCTAAGTCTACAGTCAATTTGATCAACAGTCTGTCTACACAGTAGAAGGTAGACAGGTACAAAATGAGCCCAAATAACATGAAAAAAAAAAAACTCAGCAGAAACAACACACAACAAATACAGATCTATAGGAGTTCCAGACACTGGAATTATAAGACTCAATTTAAAAATAAATTCTCTGGGACTTCCCTGGCAGTCCAGAGGTTAACACTCAACACTTCCACTGCAGGGGGTGCAGGCTCCATCCCTGGTTGGGGAACTAAGATCCCACATGCTCTGCGGAACAGCCAAACAAAAAAATTAAATAATAATAATAATAATTTTTCTTACTAAATAGGAGATAAAAGACATGATTGAAAATTTCAGCAGGTAACTGGAAATTATAAAAAAACATGAAATAGAAATTCTATAACTAAATTTTTAAAATTTATTTTGTATTGAAGTATAGTTGAGTTACAATGTGTTAATGACTGCTGTACAGCACAGTGACTCAGTTATACATATATATACATTCTTTTTCATATTCTTTTCCATTATGGTTTATCACAGGATACTGAATATAGTTCCCTCTGCTATACAGTAAGACCTTGTTGTTTATCCATTCTATATATACCAGTTTGTATCTGCTAATCCCAAATTCCCAATCCAACCCTCTCCCACCCCCCTCCCCCTTGGCAACCACCAGTCTATTCTCTATGTCCTTGATTCTGTTTCTTTTTCATAGATAGGTTCATTTGTGTCATATTTTAGATTCCACATATAAGTGATATCACGTGGTATTTGTCTTTCTCTTTCTGACTTGTTTCACTTAGTATGATAATCTCTAGTTGCTGTACCACCCTGCCTTGATTACTGTCGTTTTGTAGTAAGTTTTGAAATTAAGAAGTACAGGATATCCTATTTTATTCTTTCTATACTAAGATTGTTTTCTCTATTCTGGATCCTTTGATTTTGAAATCACCTTGTCATTTTCTACATAAAAGCCAGATGTGATTTTAATAGGGATTGCATTGAATCTGTACATCAATTAGGTAATATTTACCATTAGAACAATACTGTCTTTCAAT